GTGTAGAATCATATATGAATCACCAACAGCTGCAGTGGAGGCCTTCACTAGACTGGTCGGAACGTTACCCGCTTCGACATGGTCCAGCTGTTTCACCAAATGGTTTAAGCGCATGGAACTGTGTGTGCACGAACGCTGGTGGAGAATACCTCAAGGAAATATAATGCTTATTTTTGTGTAACAAATATGACGTTTTGTGCATCCGGAAACGTTTCGCTCAGAACTCATATGTAAAAAAATAAAACTTCAGTCACGTGTTTGTTAGAGCTCATCCGGGTCACTCGCAAGCAAAACGGGTGTTACCACTTGAGAATGAACGGTTAGTGTAGCGTGTCTTCCTTCGTTGCTCCCCGGAACAAATTAACTATCTGATCCTCCTCCAAGAGGAAATCAGAACAAATTTGAGTCGATGGTTCTGATCAGCCCCGGTATGAGCTGTGGTTGTGGGTTCCAGAGTTTAAATCCAAGGGTGGTTGATAGATACGCACCATCGAAGGGCTTTAGTGAGAGTTAACTCGTTTTTATGTATGGTTGACTGGATGATCATATGATTGTGTCTGATGCTGAGGTCTAATAGAGGGCCAGTCCAGATCTACCTAACTTATCCCGCACCACCACTCACAAGCAACTGTGAGCTATTTCTAATAAAAAAATACGGACCAGTTAACCGACATGATTTTTTGCGGTCTTATTCCATTACTTATGTGCATTTAAATAATCACTACAGATCTTAGACTAATCGGATATTGTTTTGATTGTGCTCGTTTCTGGCGAACAAAAGATCTTCGACGTAGCTGTGCACAGGAAAACTGATAGGTTGCTTGAAAAAAGGGTATACAGAGAAGAAACGTGGACCGGACAGTACACGAGCTTTCACAGTTTCGTGCCACTTATACAAAAGAGAAACCTTATTCAGTGCCTTGTCTCTCGTGCACAAAAGATATACTCCGAATCCACGTTCGCAGATGAACTTGATCAGATTAAAAACATTCTAAGGAGAAGCTGATACCCTGAAAGGTTCATCGAAAGAAACATAGAAGAAAAAAATGAAACACGCCCGTTCAGGAAGCTCCGAACAAGAGGCTGTTTATTAAACTGCCATTCAAAGGAGACAACCTGTCTGATCTGATTAGGAGACGTTTGGCGCGTGCTGTGAGAGTAAGCTTCAATGTAGCTAGGTTGTCATGCGCATTCACAGATTCACCAATAATAAGAGCATCTAATAAATACAGTTTATCTACACTGGCCTCATCTGTGGTTATATATTCCTTCAGCTGCGTTTGTGACGCAACGTACGTTGGTCGAACAGCAAGGTAACTGTCTCAGTGGATTAAAGAGCACTGTCCGCGCTGGCTTCAACACGGTGGAAAGGGAGACACTATTTTCTCTCACCTGGCTGACGTGTGTCACTAAGTGAAGCCTGAATCAGCCTTGAAAGTCATCCGTCGAGTACCACCTCACCCACCCAAATCGCTGCGTCTCCACACCCTAGCCACTTCAGAAGCGATCGGCATTGGTTCAAACCCAATTTGTGTGCAAAAAGTGATTGGCCTATGCCATTCAACTACCGTGACCGAAGGTCGATCGCACGGATGACGCATCGCAGTTTGATTGTAGTGTTGTGGTGATCATCTAGGGACGTGAAACACGTCACACCACTCTCCCCTCCCTCTCATTCCTCTCCTTTTCAACCAATCACCATGACTTTTTAATGTCTATCCCCGTTCAACATGCCATTTCCCTATTTAATCTGTACAGGCTAGAAGGTGAATAGATGAAAACAATTGCTCGCCTCTGAATGTGTTCTCTGAATATGTTCTCAATAAAAGATCTATTGTAACGTACACGTTCTATGATATGTTTACTTCACTCAGTACTGCTGATTTTCGACTCACCAGTGTGTGTGTGTGTCCGTTTGTCCCACTTGTTATCATCCCATTTAAGGTGTATGCCGTTTTGATGGAGAGGTTGGTCTAAGTCCCAAGATTTCCAAACGACTGCCCTTGACCTCGAAAGATGAGGTTTTCAACGAACTACGTGACCAGAGCTTCGTTTCGGTGGGAAGCACTTTGGGTCGTCGTAGTAAAGAAATATCCGCACGTATTCATGTGAGTTGCCTACCACCACTCCGCCCTACTCTGAACGGCGAGTTTTGATATTTGATGACAAATTGTTGCATTTATCCAATATCTCTATTTCAACTTGTCATTAATTTATCGTTTCCTGTCTTATATATTCCTTTTACCTCATTCAGGAAAGCAAATCTGTCACAGACCTCTCCGATCTACGGCTTGTTGTTAGCAAACTACCTGAGCTAAAAAGCTACCAAACGGCTTTNTTTGGAGATTCGTAAGTTGTTGAATAGCATATGGTCGGTGTGAACATGAATTTCGTCAGTCTATAAAGCAAAATGAGTATAGTCTACCTTACACTTTCGTATCGTGAAAGTTTCACCGCAGATTTGTTGTTCTACTGTTTGGTTCATTTTCCAATGTTTGGATACCATAAATATGTATACAATGTGATTTTCCTGTTAAAAAAAAACACTTAGGCTGACCGCTTTTTATAAACTTTCTTGTTAGTTTACTGATGGGGTTTAACCGGTTGTCCCTCTTCCTACGGGATATACTTGATAAATTTTGTGACTCCGTGCGCCACATCCGCAAGTGTGTGGACCTGCCCTTAAATCTCAGATCTGGCTCCCGACATCTTTGCTTGTGAATTTGCTCAATCTCGTCGCGAATAGTCCAGGCATTCCTAAATGTGGTCCTGTTAAATATTGTCGTGTCGCTCTCACTCAACCTTTTGTGGTCCATTCACGTTAAAGATGATTTCACCGAAGTCTGCAGGCTGTCCTTTTATGCCTACAGGTTCAGAAAACTGGATGTTCCAAAAAATGTGTTCCGTAATTTATACTTTTTTACACTGGTTGTATCGCTCCCCGATAATTCTTTTGTTCTAAATTGGATAGATTTCTCAGTGATTATCAGACTCCTAATAATATAATCATTGTTATGGTAGCACTGAATGGAGTGTTTTGGTTGATTGAGCGGTTCCAAGCCTTTCGATGCATGTGTTAGGTTTGTTGACAGAATAGTTTGTGATAATTCATTCTGTCCGCATCGCAAAATCATTAAAGTTGTGTCGAATACTTTAACACGCACATCCACCTGCAGGAACAAGGGAATTCCGTACATCTGGCTATTGATCTTTAGGTAGTGGTCACTAAACTTTAAAATGACTCAATAAATTTTCCTTGCACCCCAATATTGAGTTTATTTGGTGTTTTTTATGATGTCGATATGTTTGCACCGTATACATTGGTAAAGTGCTGGATATTTACTCTTTGGGTGCATAAATTGTATCGTTACTGGGCTCCACTTGACTGGAACATCATTTCGGACGTCTCCAGCAATGTCTTGTGCTTTTCAAAATATCCTCTGGTTTAAATTACGCGGTCTTGATCGTATCTTCGAATTAATGAAAATCTTAGAACATTCCTCCATTTCTGTCAAGAAGGACTATCACTTTTTGTATTTCCATTCACACTAGTCGCAATATATTCATTTCTGTAGGATTTACTGTTGCGTATGCAATATAGCCCATTTGTACGATATATATGTATACATCACGCACGTCTGAGACCAGACTGTGCCAAAGAAATCGTGGAACAATAATCTTTATAAAAAATTAAAAAAAGTTCCACGGTTCGCATGTGGGCTGGATATTGCCAGGTTGCCCAGGCCAAGGCAGATGAATCTTCTTGGGGAATCTACAGCCAGAGCCTTCATTTAGCCAAAGCCTGACCCGCAAGGTAGCGGGGCGATGTGAAAACCGTAATCCATTGGGATCTAGTGTCCAGTTCATCGGATCATATGCTTTTCGGACGGGGTCAAACATTCAAGGTGGCCAATACACCTCGATGGCCAATCGAGCCGGTGACCACTGCTACAACCAGAAAGTTGTGTGGTTTGTACGCCCCCTTTTGGTTAGTTTGGAATCAGGGTTTTTGGCCAACTCCCCTAGGTGAACTACCAGTGATCCACCAACCCGGATTTCGGCTTTTTGTCCTCTCACTTTAGTGGGAAAACATCGCCACGAGAAGGCAGTGAGTAGAGCTTCCTCAGCAAAGGCTATTTGAGAAGCTTGATCGTATGGGAGCATTTCGCGAGGTGCAAGGGAAGGGTGCCCAGCCACAACCCTAGACACCCACCCCCAACCATACTGAGGATTTCGGAGGCTTTGTACGGTGTACTTCTTGTTGCACTTTAAATGTCCAGTTACGCTTTGTTTCTCCTTGTGTTCGCTTGCTCCGTTTTGTTGGTTTTGACCTACACACGCAATGCTGTGAGAAGTAGAGTTGATAAGTTTCCATAATCCCTCTATTTGTTCGGTCATAGAAATTTTGGCGGTCTGAAGTGACGAGCCATCTCAAACCCCCATGGAGATAAAATCGGTATTGGGATGTGAATGGCAGGGTTGCAGTTTCGAACTCTATCACCACTGCTGATTCCCAGCGTTAATCGTAACCACTACCACCACTGGTTTCAAGTGTAGTCGATTTGTATTGGTTTACAGTGGGGTTTATCGTTGATTCTTGAGGATTATAACCTTCGTGTTTTGGTATGGAATACCTGAGATTTTTCATCATCCTCAGCAACAGCAGCGGAGCGAGTTCGGAGAAGCTCCAGCTCGAAGAACACACCAACACCAAAATGGGAATTGATTTTCGTTCCATCAGACGATTTTTGTCCTCAGAAAGGATGAGCACATCGCGAATTGAAGCATAACAAGGGTCAACCTGTTTGTATTCCGCCCATCCTCCTTCTCCCGCACATTTGTCTGAGGTTGAGTAATTGTTTTCAACTATCTTGTTCGTATTACAGACACAAGTATTGCGGAAAAGCTTCAAAAGCACATAAGCCGGGATGAATTCATGCAGAGTTTGACTGCTCAGCAAGGTGAGCTTCCATTCCCCCACTGTGATCGTGTTGTATAGTTTACTGGGCCACTTTTTTACGACACTTTGAATGTGTGAACTAACTTGTTCCAAACTTCGTTATATGAATGTTTCCTTTCACGCGGGACGTTCTTTGGCCGTTATTGTTTAGAATTTCATGCCCCCCCCCCTCTCTCCCCATTTTTGTCGATTGGCATATCTGTGTTGGAATTGGCCTTGATCCACTCCTCACACAGTCTGACTTGTCGTCGAGCTTTCACACAGTTGTTGAAATTTCAATAACACGTATCACGAATATTATTTGTCTCTTGGTTAACACTTTCTTTTGATATTTCAAACGAACCGCAGAATGATGACCAAGGTTCCTTTCGTTAATAAGTGATCCTCCCAGTACATCTGAATATATTTATGCTGCAGAGGCTTTGTCATTACGGGACTAGGTAGACTTTTGGTGCTCGAGCACCGCTGCGCACGCCGTATTGCACGCGTCTGGTGGGGAAACCGAATAAACAATGCTGAGGTTTGGCTCAGGTAATCATGGCCGCCCACTGAGATAAATGTTCGACCTCCATGGATTACATTGGTCGATGCATGTGTTACGCATAGCACCAAGTAAATTGCCTCGGCGTGCTATGTTTATCGAGACCGGTAGTGGGTGAATAAGTCAAATGCAGTCAAACCGAGACCTGACATGCGAGTATGAAAACCCTAACCAGGAGTCTCGATCAAATACGTCGGGTTAGGCTGCTTGATTAGGAGACTGCGTGATCAGCGTAACTGATGTTTAGAGATGCTGAGTGTGGCAAGCAGTTGCGCTCGTGCATCTTCTCCATCTCTTCGCAACCTTAGTTCTCTTTGGCACCGCGCTCAGCATTCCAATCTTCCGTATACTGTTTTCCATCCAGACGGTCAACCAAAAGATAAGAACCAAAACCGTCTCACGAAAATGCATGGTTTGTGATTGTGAAAACTCAGCTGAATGGAATCCTTCACTCAGTCTACGATATCCGGCTGTGGAACCGTTAATGGATTGCCAATAACAACTACGCGTAGCAAAGCTGTCATCTAATGGTATCCAAGAAGCCGACCCGCTCCCCACTAGTGGAAGGTATTCGTGAAAATTCAACAAGTAATGTGATAACCATTAAGGATTTAGTAAGCGTTCTTTTCTTGTTGTACCAATCGCATCATAACGTGACCCTGGTCGCAATTCATTTTCATTCACCAATCCAGTTCACTTTCTCCAATTGCAGGCTTCCTTGAGGGGTTTGAAACGGACAAAGCACATCCGTATATCGAAGAGTGTATCTTTCGAATGGCTCCGCTCGATGAGGTAATGCACTTTTGGTGTCCCCTTTCAGAACAGCACATGACTGTTTTTATATGGTATACCTGTTATAATCCCGGAAGGTGGTGCTGGTCGAGGATAGTCGTTTATTGAGGATTTCAGATGGGATATCACTAATTTGCCATATATCACACAAAACATCTCATCAGAAACATACCATCTCCGTTCCTGGCGGCAGATCAAATAATGCATAGGGCAATCGGTAGTTATTCCTTCAGACACATCACTTGGCCCTCAGTGGTCTTGTTATATTTTCAATCATTGAAAGTTACCTACTACTCACAAGTGAGTAGTATCTCACAACATACCTAATCGGATCGATGACTGCACATATAAACAGGTAGCTTACCAAGATGACCTGGCACCAGGTCCGCGAACGCTCCTGACCCGACTAGACCATGGCGTGGGGTTTGTATTGAGCACTCTTGATATACCTTACGAGCGTTGAATCAGCCCGATCGAACAGTGATCTCCAACTTACTGAGGTTTTCGAATCGCCTAAACTCTGACTCCAGATGTTCACTTCCAAAACTGTAACCGACCTTTGTTCGAACAACCTGACATTATTACATCCGCAGACAGATGGCTGTAAAACTTTTTTTTAAATCGCATTTTATCTAACACATTTTGTTTCCAGCCCAGTGTGAACTATATGAATAGACATTGAACAAAATGGAAAGGAGATTGACATCCCTGGTCGATTGTTTCACAGTCCAAAGGAAGGTGGTAACTGACCGAGACCCGGATACGGTTTCGGAGATGCGAACAAAAGCTCCATGACCGATGGAATTTAGCTTTTGTCATTACTCTACCCTTTGTGGACGTGATAAAGTGATACAGAAAAGTTTATCTGTGTAAACGACTTGTGCATACTCATAAAGCGTCACTCCATTTTTTGGTTGTTAACTCTCATTCGCATCTATTTTTTATCCAAAAGCTGCTCCCTAGATGAAAGCAAGCATACCTCTGTAAACCGCTCGTAAACTGTGGAACGTTTCTTTCTATAAAGATTACTGTTTCGTGACTTGTTTGGCACATAGTCTGGCCTCAAACGTACGTGAAATAGAAAAATATATATGTACCGCCCGATGGGTGAAATGAACCAGAATGAAAGACAGTAAAAACCTAAAAAGACGATGAGAACTGCTCTAAGTATTGATCATATTCTGCCAGTTCGCATTTACTTATGTAAGGATGAAAAAATGCCCTTATGATTGAAATATCCGAAAGATGCTCCAGACCGACTGTTTCGTGAATATCCTAATGTCTTCTGTCATGTCAGTCTTTCTTGGAGTAATCTCATTCAGACACTAAGGGTGTTAATCCAGGAAGATTGTGTACTTTTCCATTCGGGCTTTGGACATCTGGTTGAACGGTAGCGCCGATCAGCCAACTCTTCTGCGAAGTAAGGTATCCAGTTAAGATAAATCTAAATTTTAACGGCCCATATTATACTGCGTGCATGGAAATTGCTTTAATAACCGATGGTTATCGGAAATGATTCGGGAGTATCGAAAACACGTGCCAATCGGAGTTCCACAACAACACACGGGTCGGCTGGTGAACCATTTCACAAGACACTGAACCCATCAATCATTCTTATTTGCGACCGAGTCAGCTAGGTTCGCAATGAATCAATTGACTAGAATTGGCTTCTGGAGGAGGCGACCTATCACGAGAACCATGAGTTAAATGTCCCAAACATAGTTTTTACTTTATATGCATTATTTCGCTAGATGGACTATCCAGGTATTCTCACTGCATTGTTGCGTGTCTGTGTTACTCACAAACTCAACGAGTAGTGGAAAAACCACAAAAATGGTTTCGTGATACATCTTTTGTTTTATAATGGTCAATTACTTCTCGGGTGTAGGAAATGTGCTCATCGAGTGAAATATAAAGAAATCCATACAAATTTCACTGGTCTCCCTGATAACGAAATTTTGATATATATATATCACATGTTTCACTGGAGCTCATGTGGCAGTCTGCTTCGTGGAACTCCGCACCACCTTTCATTTATTTGGTTGAGCCACCTTGAAGAAAGTAGACAAAAACAAGGGATTGGATAAGCATTGTTTGCTCTGTTTTTGATTTCAACTGCAACCTTAACTGTAAGGTTTGAAACCACAGGTTTTTAGTAATCGGATGTCCTGCTCAAATTAACATCTGGGTAAATTTTGGGGGTACTATCAGGAATAATAGGAAGCAAAAGTAGATAATAATGGTCAAAACGTTTTAACCTTGAAAAACGTTTTTAAAACTCAATTATAACAGTAGATGCTTCAATCAAGCACACACGTGTATGAGAACAAAGTTGCTTATTTGGTATCTGTTGTTTATCCACGCCCTTTTCAGGTCTTACGTTTAATTTGTTTGCAATCTTTCTGCAATGGAGGTCTGAAGCAACGTCTTTTGGAGTATTACAAACGTGAGGTTCTCCAGGTAAGTTTATCACGAAAGTCTGAATGGTCTTTCCTCGTGTCTACTGTGTTTTGTGGTCGCTCGCT